GCGGCTGCCAAGTGGATGGGTGAGGAAGAGGAGAGGTAGTTGGTTCTTACAGAGCTACTGTTAGTTAGTTGAGGTAAGAGAACCTCCATTTTTGGAGTTTGATCATGGATTTATTCACCATTTATTTTGTCCTGAAGCATGGGAAAAAATACTGTCTTTCACATTGTCCAACATCATGAGCACACCTGGTCCTCCGTCTGAACTCCGCTCCTTAGCTCAGTTAGTGAAGCTGATTTCCACTCCAGAAAGCTCTCTTGGACAACTCCATTTGCCTCAGTTTCCACACTATCCATGTCACAGTTTTTTCAGCTTTTGGTAAACATAACTAAGTGGAACCTGTCCATCGTCTTTATTAACACTGTATACAGTTTTGTTTTGTTTTGTTTTCAAAAGCACATCCCTGTTGGACTTCCTAGGGATTAGATTTTGGTATAAATAATTAGCTATTCTCTTACTTTCAGGCGATTTATGATAACTTTCCTCTTTATGATACTTGGCCATCTCTAAATCTTCTCTCTTAAACAAAAGGAAAATTATCATAATGTCAAATCTATTCAATCTCCTTTGATCCACTGATAAGAATTTGTACAGATACAATTGATTTTACAGTTGGTGGCGAGCAGGATTTAGAGATCCGAAATCAGCTGTTACTTACACCACAGGCAGAAAGGAAAATTGCTGTCATAGCGAAGTCGATTAGCATCATAACAACATATTGGAAAGAGAAAAAAGTGATGATTTCACATAGTATTCCCAAATCAAGGCACTTAATAGAAAATGACATCGCTGTTTCTTATTTGATGCTGAAATCTTTCTCACTATTTCTTTGGATTTAGTATGAGGTTCAATTGTTTGCTTATTGTTCCATGTTAAAACCTAGAATTGGTCCAATTACCAATTCAGATTCAATGCATGTATCTGAGATTGAACTAAAGAGCTTAAATAGAAAGAGGTTTACTTTCTTAAAGAAGGGTTTGGGATTGGCAGGCCAGGGTGAATCATGAGGTCTGCTCCATCTCACTTAGCAAGAAGATTTCTATCTATGGTTGGAAGTGGCTGATGCATCTGCATTATAGGTGGAAAGAAAGGAAGATGGCAGTGGGTGAAATATGTGTACCAGCAATGTCTTTTTGTCAGAAAGAAAACCTATATCTTTCCTGGAAGCTTCGGCCATTGTTCTCCACTTACATCTGACCTGCTAGAATTAAGTCACGTGTCCACTCCCAGATGAAAGGGAGTGATGAGAGGTAGATATTTAACTCTGTATAGGGTCACCCTGAACAAAACTGAGTTCTCTCAGTATCACAGAAGGGGAGACTGAATATTAGATAACTTACAGTATCTACCTAAAGGAAAGAGGCATAATCCTGTTATTTGTAAAAATGCCATATTTTTGTGTAAATGTGTATATCCAACAAAACACTAACTGCCTTAGATCAGCAGGTGCCTCATGTATCAGGACTACAACACTGTCTTCTAATTATTGACTCTGCTTCCAGGTTCATCCCCTGAAATCTCTGACAATAGAAGCTGGAAAACTTTTATGTAAAATGCAACATGAAAAAATATTTTAGGCTTTGCGAATCAGTCTTCATTGTGACTACTCGACTCTGCCATCACAGTGACCAAAGTACCACAGGCAATATATCAATAAATGAGTGTGACTGTGTTCCAGTGAAATGTTTTTATAAAACAAACAGCAGGCTGAATTTGTTTTCCCTGTCACTGTTTGATGATCACTACTCTACAATATTACTAGCTTTTTTTAATTCTAAAATCAGAGTCAATGCAAATATCGCCTATACTTCAGCACCAAATATAAAGTGAGTTTCTCCCTCCTCTAACTTTTATATCACCTTCTATAACATTCACATTCCATGTGCTTTAGATGCTAATATAGTGATTTATGTATCTGTTTTCCCATAGTAATGAGTTCACACATACACACACACCCAATATAATTTCCAATATTCAGCCTATGGCTTGCCATACTCTTTCAATAGACTAATACCTAGAACCACAAGAAGTAAAGACTTGAAACATACTCTGTTGTGTTCTTTTTCTCTATTACTTTCAGATATTAAGTATTTCTCCATTAACCACACTCATCTCAGTAAAAGAATTTAAGAATCCTAGCTATTTCCCATTCCTATCCTTTGAGTTGTGCCTAAGTCCTCATACTACAGCCTTCACTGTGGTAATTCCTTTACACCTCATGGTTCTTAGATTGTACAGTATCTTTTAGCATCCTCAGATGTACTCATTTAGATTGAAGTCTGTGTTCACACACACACTCACATATATATATTTCAGAGTAGATTGCTGATTACTTTTTCCTGTCCTTATCTTTTTCTTTTTGATCTTTTTTCTGATTCATTTCATCTATTTTCAATTTTAACTATTTTCTAACATATTTTTTTCTAGATAAGAGAATAATATACTTTTGGTGTCCTTCTTCAAATATTTCTTTCATTTAACTGACAGATGAACCATGTTTTGACGTAAGCTGTAAATGGTATTCAACTGTTGACCAACGTCAATATTTGATGTGATAAATATAATAATGCCAATACATATTTTAGTAAGAATTTTTGTTAATCTAAAAGTTTATATATTTTTTTCATTTTTTAGCTTTTACGAACTTTCCCAGAACTTACATAGGTTTCTTATTCTATTAGCCCTTCCTAGAACTCAGAAAATCTATTAAACTTATAAGTTTAGTATACCTTTCACTTCAAGAAAATAATATTGTTCCTCACTTTTATCTGCTCTGTTTTGCTCTCTGGGAACATATGGTAATCACACGATAAGTCTAATGAACATATACTCTAAGTCAGTGGTCCCCAAACTTTTTGGCACCAGGGACCAGTGCTCCTATGAGAATCTAATGCATGATGATCTGAGGTGGAGCTGAGGCGGTGATGCTAACCCCAGGGAGCAGCTGTAAATACAGATGAAGCTTTGCTCTCTTGCCCACTGCTCACCTGCTGTGGCCTGGTTCCTAACAGGCCACCAGGCCCCGGGGTTTGGGGAACCCTGCTCTAAGTGTAATCTTTTCCTCACAATTTTCATATTTTTGTACTTCTGCTCTGATTCTTAGCTACTTCTTCCCATTAGGTATATTCTCAAGTTCCAGAGCAGTAATTTTGGTCTTATGAGTGACCATCCGTTCCTCAATCCATACATAAAGTTTTTTGTTGTTTACTTATTTATAAAAAAATAAAAAATGTGGCTTTGAGTTACAGAAATCTCTTTGTAGTGTCCTTAAAACACTAGTTCTCTTATTATCTACTCTTTCTTGGTAGTGACTGCTCTGCCTAGTTTTTTTCTCTCTTGCACTTTGTCCCCTATGGTTATGGTTGTTCCCTGGCATTTCTTAGGGATCTTATGCAGCCCCTGGAACTCCTTACCAGCGGCATTCTCACAAGGATAGAATCATTCTCACAAGGATAGAATCATAGAGTTGTTTTGCTTTTGTCAGACAGAAGGAGGGCGGCAGATGGGCTCTCAGTCCCTTGATCAAGTGCTGGGAGGAAGCCTGTTTAGAGTTTCTACACAAACTCTCAGCTGCCAGTGTTAACGGCGTTGAGACTCTCAGTTTGCCCTCATTTTTCCTCAGAGACCAATGAGCCTGAGTCTGGGCCTCCCCCAGGTCTCTGAGGCGCGTCCCTGTGTTCTACTCTGGTCCAGAGATAGCCAGTTTGATAATTGCTTTCTCCCCTGAGATTTTCTTCAAGAAGTACTTAGTGTCTCTTTCCAATCTGCTTCCCCAACAGCTTCAGGAGCTACCTGCCTAGCTCAAGAGACCTAAAATAGGCTGGTATTGGGAAAGAAGAAACTACCATTTTCCATTAAAAAACCCTATGTATATAAGATAAAGGATGCTAACTAAACTTACTGTGGTGATCACAGTAAGTTTAGAAATAAATTGTCATTATGCTATACATCTTAAAGTTATAGATTGCTAGATGTCAGTCACAGCTCAATAAAGCTAAAAATTTTTTCCAAAAATATTTTTATGTATATATCCAATATACAGTGATTTGATTAATGATGATAAATACCTTAATGTAAAATCATACTCATATATACACAGGAAACTTAAAGATATGCAATCTTTACTCGAAAAATGTGCTCTAAATCCAAGTTTAAAGACTCATAAAATAGTAAAAAATTATTATGATAGCTGAACTTAACTACACTTAGAAATTCATCATATGAGATAAAAACTAAGTAAAAGAGCTAGCTCACAGATATTAGCAAGAGGCAGGAAAGGCCCAGATCATCAGGGTGACTGAAGACCTAGATTACAACTTATTAAATGCAATGTAAGTAAGCTCTGCACTCAGAAGACTCTAGATTCAATTTCTTCATGGTCATTTTCTAAATATGTGAATTGGGAATGTTACTTAAGTATTGTATGCCAGTTTTATATCTTTAAAGTAGTATTCAAAATACTTTGCAAAGTTGTGGTATATTTAAAAGTAAATAAAATATGCAAATGTTTAGGAGAATGTGAAAATTTTAATTGCTTAATGTGGCTATTACTTGTACTATTAATACTAATATAATTAGGTAATAAACTGCAAGTTTAAAAGACATAGCAATAGATTTCCAACATTATACTGTCTGTCTTTAACTATGAAAATTTTCACTTTGAATGTGTTTGTATGTTCTTTGCAATATGCATAAAATATTTATGTGGTCAAAAACACATGTCGATTAAACAAGAATTCTAGGTCTTTTCTGATTTATAATAGTTTTCTTTTGATATGAAACCATTACTTACACTTATAAGTTCAGAAATTAATTTTAATAAACATTGGAATAGTTTGAACTAATATTCTTTAATAGTTTAGGCCATAGAAAATTATTGAAATTTCTGGGGACTATTTCAAATTTCTCCATATTGACACAAAAAAATTAAAATCTTGTCTTCAAAAGATGATTTTTGATTCTCAAAATACATTAAGTCAAAGTATAAAAATGATTTTCCTTACCCATATCTGACATTTCGGGCACAGTGACAATATATGGTCCATCTGTGAACTTCGGAGCATTGTCATTGATGTCTTGCACTTTGATGATGAACTCAGACTCAGGCTCAAGAGGTTTGTTTGTTCGTCTGTCAATAGCCTGGGCATGAAGCACATAGTGGGTCTTCTGCTCTCTGTCTAGGCTTTTCGTTGAGTGGATGTCTCCAGTGGTATCATCAATGATAAATATAGTCCCAGCACCTTCTCCAGTAAGGATATACTTGACAGACCCATCACCTTTGTCAGAATTGGAGTGCAGCTATAAAATAGAAATGAAATAATTTCACATGCAATTATATTTCAGCCTTGCATGGTATTCTTTGAAAATTGCCTATGTATAATTCAATATTTAGTTTGATTATGACTTTTCAATGTCCTGTATTTTATTAGAATCATTTATTTTTTCTGAAATTTTTCTCTACATGCTGTTTATATGAATATTTTTATTATGATGTGTAAAATAATCCAATTATTGATTTAAGAGAAAATAATAAGTAATACTTATTAATAGCAAAAACAACAGCCCTTGGTGTCATTCTACTAAAAGAATATTTTACTAACTACATGGAATAGAATTGGAAAAATAAATTACCAGTAAATCACTTGTAGGGATACTGTTTTCATACTTGTAGTAAAAATGCATTAAAAAAAAATTTAATTGTTTGGCATTCTATTTTAATGTTAAAATTAAAAAAAAAATGTATGGTAGGACAAATTGAAATACAAATTAATTATTAAAATATCCACAAAAGAGGCCTCTGTTTGTCACAGAGGCATTAACTTTATAATTTAAATTTTTTTTCTAATTAATCGTTACACTTAAAATTCAAAAACAAAACAAAACTGTGGTAGAATATTTCCTTTCCTTAAAGATTATAAAAAATTAAAAAAATTAAAGAGTAGTAAAGATTTAATCAATAAGTAGACTCTGATTCTTAATTAATTGAGATACACTAGTAAATTGTCATTTATTAAAATGATTGATTATCCTTTGAACAGATTTTAGAATAGCAACATTTCAGCAAAGAAGAGTTCTTCAATAAGAGTGATAAATAAGATTAAGATGATTTTAAATTTCCTTTTTGTTATTTACATATGAGTAAATGCTTTTCAACTGTATAGTTCATATTTAATATTATACTATAAATTACAATGTCAAAATTCAGTTAAATATTTTCATAAGTGTCACTACTATATTTCTAGCTAGAAACAACAGCAGTATTTTCTCATATCACAACAATATATTTGAAGAATTCTTTCTCCCAAGAGATCTGGACAGTAATTCTTCCTATGAAACCTTTTGGTCACTTAACCTACACTACTTACCTTTTTCTCACTTCTGACCTTGGACACACTGAAAAAATATAACCTGTTCATATAGCATTTTGATTCCCTGCCATAGTAAAGTGAAAATTTTGAAAGTTTATTTTAAAATCTCTGAACTCTTAGAATACTTTTTTTAAAAAAGATAAAATACAGAAAAATACAATACAATATGAGGAAAGGACAATTTTTATAGAAAAAAACAACTGAAACATAAATCATAGGACATCAGAAATAATTTTACTTCTTTCTTGAAAACACATAAGACATAAATAGGAATACTCTTTTAATGAAAATCACTCAGCAAAATTTAACAACTCATTTCAAAACTGCTTTTGGGGAGCTTTTATAAAAGGAAGCAAAATACATTAGGAAAATATAAAATAACATAGCTTTCAAAGATTCATACTTCATTAAAAAATTAACTACAAACAGAGAATACAGATTGCATGGAGATAGTTGCATGAATGTATGAAAATGTATTTATTTCTTTATGTCTGTTGACATATCATTTTAGCACCTAGAAGAAAAGATTTATGATTTATGAAGTGGATACCTACAAAATACTGATAGGCAGCCTGTTTTGTATTCTCCCAAAAAGTATCAATTCATTACCAAAACATAGCAAAGTAAAGCAACAAATTCATTCAACAAATGTTTTTAGGACCTTTTCTAGAACACTCTTCTTATTAAGTCAATAAGAGGTAGATCATTTTATTAGCTATTGTATAGTATATATAAATTATAAATCTATATTATACATACACACATATATATGTGTATATACATACATATGTATACATCTAATTAACTAAACACACTTTGGGGGAAAAATTGTGACTTCTAACAACTAATTTCAGAAAGACAACAATAGTTGTAATCAAGTCTTATCTTCAGGACATAGTCACATATTCTTTTATGTTTTTAATGAGGTTAACCTGATATTATTTAGTTTTGGATTAAAAGTTCTTATAAAGAAGAAAGGGCTTATCTATGTAGGCCATCAACAGAGGTTAAAATAAATAGTAAACTTGTCAATCTACAGAATCTATTAAAAAGATTATATACTCTATTCTTTATGTACATTTTGTTAAGTAATTCAAATAAAAGAAAAATTCCAATAATTTTATTGATTTATATTTTAAGATTTGGACCTGGTTCTATAATAAAAGGTTTTAGAATTAATAAATCACTTAGTCTAAATGTTTCAGAAGTTATATTCGATTTGAAAATAGACATGCAATACAATCAGTGAATTGGAATTTAGAAGTATCTATATTGTTGGATAACACTGTGTTATATAAAAATATTATAAAATATATTTGAATTATATTAGATAATACACAGTTTGAGTGTTTAAATAATGTAGATCATCATTTTATTAATAGATTATTTACTCTCTCAGCTGGCCTGGTTGAAACTTGAAAGGATTAGTTCTATGAAACACTAATGGGAAACCAACAAAGTAGCATTTGGTCAATTGATTAGTAGTTTATATGATTATGTCGATAATCACTTGTGAAGCAAACAAGTTATGCACTCTCAGGACTACCTCTTCTATATCGTATCTGTTCTCAAATATCCAATTTTTTTTGCAACATATGATCTGCAACAGAGATGCCTGAGAGAAACGTTGGCTATATTGTCTTGTTTTCCTTAGTAAGTGGGTTTTAAGATCCTGGAAGAGCACATCTTTTATATCAGATTTTGTAAGGCAGGAAATGATGACTGAGTGAATGAATGCATGAATGAATGGAATTGGTGAGGAGTAATGCTAATATCAGAGACAGAATCTTAAAACAGAAAGAAAGCTCATCAATACAGATAATCACAATAGAAACGTGTTATCTTTGAATGTTGTCAACCATATGATTTCACTCATAGGTGGTATATAAAACTAAAAGTAACAAATGAACAAGACAAACAAAAACTCATAGACACAGACAACAGTTTAGTGGGTACCAGAGGGAAAGGGGAAGTGGAGAGGTAGGTATGAGTAAAAGAGGTCAAATATGATGACAGAGATTTGACTTTGAGTGGTGAACACGCAATGCAAAATACATATGACATATTATTGAATTGTACACTTGAAACATATAATTGTATTAACCAATGTTGCCCCAATGAATTTAATGATAATAATAAAATAATGATGATAATAATAAAAATACAAGTAAAATCTGAAAAAAAAATCAGAGTAGAGCATATAAAGTAGAAATTCTCTGGTTATATACAAGATATTGATTTAGTAAACAGTAAAATTGCATTGTAAATTTAGGTAGTATATTATTTAAGAGATATTTTTGACATTTTTACATTAAATATGTAAAAATACTTGGAAGATAATTGATTTTAGTCACATACAATGAACACTCTTTAGCAGACAGTTTAGAAATACCACCAAAAGAGCAGTAGTGGAGTCTTATCATAACTCACATTGGTGGGAATATACTTTTAGAGTCATGGATTTTACAAAATGAGTGATATTTTTATGCTGAAGGACAGATGTTGCTCGAAAAGAAGAATAGATTATCCCTGTGTGTCTGATCACATAATAGAGCAGGGTTAATTAACTGCACTTTAGAGAATAGAAAAGGCGAGGAGAATGAAAGAAGAGAGAAAAAAAAATGTAGTTACCCAAGTAAAGCAAAATGAATATTTCTCTGGCATTACTTCAATAAATTGACTCTTTCTTGATGTTAAGTAGTAACCTATGGCACTTAGAAAGCCAACGTGACTCACATGAGTTCCTCCGAGAAAACTATTCACCCTAGAACACATTAGGGTCAGGACAAAAAAAACATATATAGCTTTTACTCTAATACAGAATTCTTCACAAAGATAATATTCTATCCCTGGGGGAAGAATAACTGTAAAAGGTTAAGAACATGGTGGCAGAACAATTAATTTAAAAAGTTGCTTTTAGTTAGGACTTCAAGCTATGCTAAAATGATAGGTCATTGACTTAAAATTATAGAATTTTGAACTACAAAATTTATCTACGTTTCTATGAGTAGAAAACTTATATTTACAACATTCCAGTAGAAGCCAGATATAAAGTCAGAAATATCATATACTAATCCCACTATTATCACTTTCTCCAACACATAAAACACAATTAATACAATGTGAAGATCATAGGAAAGATATGTCATTGGAACTTATTATGTATTCTTCATTCCAGAATGTGTTATATTTTAAACTGTGAAACAAAACTCAACTGAACTATTAATAAGTGGTTGATGTGAAAAAAAATACTAATCAAATAATAAGTTTCTTGATCACTAACACATGAGTCTCTTTGTGTAAGAAAAATACATAACCATTAGTTTTAACTTTGTATCAATTAATATGTAAAATGTTATGGCAAAAATGGTATCAATAAAGTACTTTGTTCCACCATAAAGCTAACATTAGTCAATTAAAAAGTTAATAAACTAGATGAGGGTAAGGGAATAGGTATACAGTTGTTTTGCTAGAAACATCAGAGGTCTTTGTCAAATATGTATAGTTCTGTTTGGTTTCAGCTTTTAGCTTTTAACTTCTTTACAAGTATTCTTAGAGAAGAAAACTTGTGATTGACCAGAAGGAGGGCATAAAGAGCAGGAAGCAGCACTAGTTTGAATATGATATACCCTGAATCCAAGATTGGGAATATTAACGTGTGTGTGTGTGTGTGTGTGTGTGTGTGTTTGTATTACATACCACTGAGTTGGTTCTAACTCTTGGCAATCCTATCAATGAGTAATGTCCACAATATCCTGTCCGCCACAACTCTGCTTAACCCCAGCAGACTCATGCCTACTATGGAGTCCATCCATCTCTTACTTGGGCTTCCTCTTTTCCTGATGCTTTCTATTTTTTCCAGCACCAGTTATTTTATAAAGAACACTGATTCTCATGTTGCAACCAAAATAGGACAGCTTCAGTGTTATC